AAGAGTTTAATATATTTTAATCTAATAATATCATAAATTATAATGCAATAAAAATCTCAATTTTGCTAAAAAATTCCTAGAATCTGATTTTCTAGCAATTAACTCATATAATAAATTTTTATATTATGATTATGCTATTTTTTTACTATTTTTTTATGTTAAATTTTTGCTTTTTTTTTGCTATTTTATACACTAATTTTTATATTTATATTTATAATAAAAATATAAAATTTTCTTAAAGAAATTATTTAAAATAATAATATTGTCATTTTAAATAATAATACTTGTATTTTAAAACTAATTTAACAATATATTAATAATATTAAAGTTTTAAATATTTAACAATATATCAAAAGATAAATTTAATAATATATTAATCAGAAATTTATAAATATTAAATAATATATTATTAGTTTATTAATTTTATTTTTTTTTAAAATCAAAAGTATACTTTTATATATTGTTCTTAAAAATTGATTTTACTATCAATTTAAAGAACAAAATATAAACTATATTGTAAAACTTATTAAAAAGGTATATTTTATATAATTAAAAATATTAATTATTATTTTAAATTTATTTAATAGTTTAAAAAAAGAAATAAAAATATACAAGTTAGGAAAGGTAGTTAGCTAATAAAGAATATCTAATATAAATATAATTATATTATTTATAAAGATAATCAATTTCAAAAAAAGCAGATAAAGCATTAGGTGTCAAAGATTTTATATTTCTAATATTTTGATTAAAATCTAAATAAAAATATCTAAATTTTATTTATTTATTAAAAAAAAAATATCATTATCAATACCATTATCAAAATTAATGTCAATGCTAATATTAATGTCAATACTACTACTAATACTAGTATTAATATCAGTATTACTAATAATAACAGTATCATCAAAACTAATACTAGTGTTAATATTAACACTATTACTAATATTAATATTATTAAAATTAATACTTGCGTTAATGCTAAAGCTTACACTAAAGTTAATATTAATATGATACTAGTATTAATGCTAAAATTAAAGCTAATATCAAGCTAGTACTACTTTCAATATTAATAAAAAAGTAAGACTTTTAAAGGATTATTAGGTAACTTTTAAATTTTTATTTTAATATATAATAATAAAAATTTTAAATTTAATTTATGCTAATTAATATTAAAACAAATAAAAATGAAAGTAAAGTCAGTAATAGTGATGAAACTAATAAAATTAGTATTAATACTACCTCTAGTATTATCTTTAATTCTAATGCAAAATTTAATTTATTTTATGATAAAAATTTAGGTAAATCAAAAATTCTTATTAATTTTCTATATAATAATAATTTTTATATTAACTTTATATTAATAAATATTAAAGAAAAAAAAAATAAAGTTTCAATTAATGAAAATAAAAAAGGTAAGAAATTTATTTTTTTTTACAAATATTTATAATTAAAGATTAGTACTGTAATTAAAAAAATGGCATAATTAAGTTATAATTAGTAATACAATTAAATTTTCTTATAATGTAAATAAGTTACAACTTAATTAAAATTTGAAATAATTATGAAGATTATCTTTATTTATAATACTCATTTTTTATATTTATTTTGATTAATTTATATCAAAAGAAATATTAAAAAGAGACAAATTTAAAAAATATTGAATTTTAAATTTTTTAAATTTTTTAATTTTTATTATATCATTAAAATTTAAATTGTTTAATTAAAATATTATAAAATATATATTATATCTGTAATTTTTGTATTTATCAAATCATTATAAAATATATATTTATTTGTAATTTTTACATCTATTAAAACATTATAAAATATATATTTTATTTGTAATTTTTGCATCTGTTAAAGTATTATAAAATATATATTTTATCTATAATTTTTATAGTATTATATATATATTTTATCTATGATTTTTATATTTAAGATTACTTATCTAAACTTATTTTGAATTTGATAAAATATCTAACTATAGTTTCACTAATTTTTTACTAAAGTTTAATATAGTTTCATATTTTTATAAACTTTGATATAGTTTTAGCTTTTTTAGAATTTTGCAGATTTTTTAATAAGGTTTTAATATAATTTTACTAAATTTTACTTTTTTTCATTTAGATGATTTGCAAAACCTCTAGATTTCATCTAGTAACTTTATTTATATCTATTAAAGTATTATAAAATATATGTATTATCTATGATTTTGCATTATTACTAGTTTCATTTTTATTTATTTTAACGTTTAAGTTAAATGACTGCGACAGTTGATTTTACACATTGGAGTTTCTGCCCTTAAGACTTTCTTTAAGTCCTATAGGTATTCATTATACTTGAATCAACTTGACAATTTATTATATCTTAGAATTTAAGATATATTTAATTAAACTTGTAATGACAAATTAAATAGTACGTTAGTGTAGAGTATCACAATAATCTTAGATAAGAGATAATGTTAAATAAAAAAGTAGTTTGTATAAATTTAAATTGATTTTTTTATTTATAATTTGAAACTTACAAAAGAGGTAATAAACTTGCAGAGGAGTTAATTTACAACTTAAGCAAAAAGCTATTCTATTTATATAAAATGAATTTGCTACAGCTAACTATTTGCTACACTATAAATTAACTAAATATAGATATATATTTTAATAAAAATATACTTAAATATAATAAAATAATAAAATAATATAAACTATAAAAATAATAAAATAAAATAAAATAACTACAGACGTTAAAGAAATTACAGATGAAACAAAATAAACAGGTTGTACAGAAAATATAGAAAAAACAAATGCAACAGGCGAAACAAAAATTATTGCTGATCACTATTTAGTGCAGCAGTGATGTCACTTAATGTGAGATTATCATTAATCATCGAATCCTATATGATATTTGGAGTTGTAATTTCTTCCATTAACAGCATCTATTAAATCATTATAAAATATATGTTTTATCTATAATTTTATATCTGTTAAGCATAATAAAATATATATTTTTATCCATGATTTATATATACTTTTTTTCACTTTTCTGTATTAAGTTTAAGGTTTTTACTTAAAGAAAAAACATATATATTATATTGAAATTTCATAAAAATTATGCGTTATAAACTTAATATTTTTATTCAAATTTTTTATTAGAAGATTATTATTATATGATTCTTTTAATAATATATGTATAGAGAATCACCTATTATTGAGTCCTTTAGGATTACTATTATATGATATAATATACGTAGAATATATTATATGTTTATCTTTTATAATCATCAAATTCTTGAAGAAAGTGTCTGAAACTTAAGATGTAATAAGCATAGTAAAATTTTAATTAGCACTATCCTATAACTTTTATTAGAACTTTGAATAAAATATTTGGTATCCAAACTAATATAAAAATGATCTAAAACTGGTAAACTAATAGAACATCTCTGGCTTTCTATTAATACTATAATAGTTTTACAGTAGTTTTAAAGTTCTACTAGGTTATTACTATGATACTAACTTGAATTTTTTAAATTATATGTTCTAAAGATTAACTAGAATTATAATATAATGTTAGTCAAAATTAAATGCAGATTTATTATACATTCTGACACTATTTTTTACAATGAAAGTAAAATAAAAGGTCTGAAAATAAGCTAGCAGTTAGGAATATTATAATATACTGAATAATATATCCTAGGACATATTAATCAATAAACTATAATGATCTAGAATATATTAATCAATAGACTACAATATTCTAAAATATATCAATCTATAAACTATAATGATCTAAAACGTATTAATCAATAGACTATGATGTTCTAAGATATTACAATCTAGTTAGAACATCATAGTCTATTGATTAATATATCCTAACAAGATTATAATGTCTTAGGACATCATAGTATGAAACAAGTGAAACGCATTAATATATTAATATATTAACGTGTTCCACTCCTTTTACTCAATTTACAGTAGTAAGATTTACTTTAATCATTTCTGAAGTTCTTCTTCGATTTTACATTTTATATGAATATTTATTAGCAATGGATGATTTGAAATATACCATTCTGCAACACATCCAAAAGGAACATTTACAGTATTATCATTATTATATTGGATTAAATGTTCATAATTTCCTTCCATATGATATAATTTTTTTTTTACTTATTAAAAGTTTACCATAACAAAAATTATAAAATTTTAAAAATTAAAATAACAAAAAAAAAATAATGAATTTTTATTTATAAAGTAATGAAGTTTTATTTAAAGTTTCGTAATATTCAAAGTTTTTAAAACACGTAAATGTCACGTATCATATTAATATCATATTCACATGAGTTTTGGTTAAGAAAGACGCATAAATTTGGTCATAAATCGGGGTGCATAAACTTGCATATTTTGATGTGTATGGACTCATTGAGGATGAGTATGGATCTATTAACTAGTGCCTGACTTTATCCTGTTTAATAATTCAATAATAATGTCTATTTATTATTTGCACACACCCGGCATCGCGGACAAGTCGGATCTTATAATTTCATCCGTCAATAACAAATTAATTAGTATCGATGGTAGTTTTAGAGAAAAGGTAGATCAATAATAAGCTTAGTTATAAACATATAATTTTATTGTTTTACAATTGCTTATAATTAATTGAGATATATTTTTCTTAATAGAATCGAAGCCACCTTTGCTAAAGTTGAAATTGAACACCTATCACGTTAAAGAGAACAAATAAAAAGGTTCTTGAGATAATTTAGATTAATCATGAATCTTAGTTTGCTTATTTTCTTTACCTTATTTAAAATTAGAAAAACGTTTGGTCGCATTTTTTTAAAATATAAACTAATGTATTTAGATAATTGGTTACACTATGTTGCACTGTGTTGCACATACTTTATTTATTATACGTGTCCACAATAAACGAAACTGTGACCAACTATTTGTATAAAGCTTTGGTATATTTTACATTTTATAGACGAAAAAAAAAAAAGGTTTATCAAAATGAATCAAAGTCCAACAATTTATGTTCCAGCAAAAAGAACAGACGAGGTTGACTGGGCAAGCCCCCTTAAAAGATATATTCAAACAACATATCAAGAGGATCCAGAAAAATATGCAGACGAAGCCAATGCAATTCACCGTCTAAGACAGGATATGCGAGGTGCTGGTAAAGACGTGACTGGAAGAGATTTATTGTATCGATATTATAGCCAGTTAGAGTTACTTGATTTAAGGTTTCCTGTCGATGAGAACCATATTAGAGTCTCTTTTACTTGGTATTAAGTAAATTCTTTTATTTTTAAAATTTTATCACATTTTTTTGTATATTAATTATCATAAATTTTTTCAGGTATGATGCCTTTACACATAAAGCCACTTCTCAGTTTTCACTTGCATATGAAAAAGCGAGTGTAATTTTCAATATTGCCTCTGTCTTGTCGGCAATTGCTGCTTCTCAAAACCGATCCGAACCTGAAGGTCTAAAACGTGCTTTCAATTTTTTTCAAGCATCTGCTGAGAGATACACATATATAAATGATAACTTTTTGCATGCTCCTTCAACCGATTTGAGTCGTGATACTGTGAAACTGCTTACACAACTAATGCTTACACAATCTCAAGAGTGTTTCTTAGAACAGAGTTTAGGGAATAAAAATAAGCCTGGTTTAATAGCTAAATTAGCTGCTCAAGCTGGATGGTCCTATGGAAACATTGTCGAAAATATGGGTGATCTTATAAGTCGAAGCGTATTTGACAGGAGTTGGCTGACAGTTTGTCAGGTACAGCATAAGTATATCACAATATATGAAAATTTTGTATCAAAATTAAGTTTAACACATTATTTCGATTTTATTTTAGATAAAACATAAATATCTTACGTCTATTGCTCAATATCAAAAATCTCTAGCTTGTGAAAAAGAAAGCAAATATGGTGAATGTGTTTGTCGCCTTAATATTGCAGAATCTTTGGCTAAGGAAGCAAATAAACTTTCCAACAATTTTGTGTCGGCCTTCACACCAACTGTAACTCCAACTCTTTCTCCTGATACTGCAATTTCATTACAAGAACTCACAAAGTCAAATCTTGCACTTATCACGGAGAAAAAAAATTCTTCTACGAAGGATAATGATATTATATATCACGAAGTTGTTCCACAGGAAAGTGTTATTCCACCAATAGATAAATTAAATGCAGTTAAGCCAATGCCAATACAAGATTTATATGGTGCTAATGAGATGCAAAAAGTAATTGGTCAAGATATTTTCCAACGACTTATTCCATTATCAGTTCATGAATCTGCATCTTTATATTCAGAGGAAAAAGCTAAAATTGTTCGTAGTGAAACTGAGAGATGTGATGTTTCTAATGGTGAATTAGAAGCTGCTTTAGAATATATGAAATTACCAGGAGCGCTTGTAAAATTTAAGACGGATAATGAGTTTAAATATTTTAATGAATTTGCATCACCCACTCCTGAAGTTAAACAGTGGGCTCAATTAATAAAAACGGAGGAAGAACAAAAGGGTACAATTAAAGAGCTATTGATGACTTTAAATGGCTTAAAATGCAGAGCTAAAGAAATTTTAGATGAATCCTCTATAATATTAGATAACGAACAACGAGATTATGATGGAATGAAGGTAAATTAAATTAACATATTATATATAAATAATTAAATCTCTTGTTTACAAATAATAAAAATATTTAATAATTTTAGGTAAAATATAGTAATTTATGGACACAACCTCCAAACACACTTACTGCAGTTTTTCATCAAGATTTGAATAGTCATAAAGATACACTTGAAAAAGCCGCAAATTCGGATCAACATTTGTTTCAAAGATATGATCAATCTCTAAATGATATTATGATTTTACGGATGGGCGAAAATGGAGATGATTTAGAAAAAATATTTGCAGAAACATTAGCATCCTCTATAAATACTAATACTGATATGTTCGTGGGTGGTAGGAGAATAAGCAATGCAGAGAGTTTACTGGACGTAGATACATCAAAATCTGAAGAAGATATTAACGTTAAAGTACATAAGGTCGAAGTATGCTTAGACAATTTAAATAAAATTAGAAAAGAACGAATGGATACATTAAATGATTTGAAGGAAAAGGTTAAGATGATTATTATTATATTTTAATTTTTATATATACAATTTTTTATTTATTAATATCTTATTTTAATTAGACGCACCAAGATGATATATCCAATATTCTAATCCTCAATAAAAAGGTACAAAATATTGAGCCACAGCTTTTTGCAACTGAGCTTGAAAAATTCTCCCCATATCGAAATCGTATAACTGCTAGCATTCATCATCAGCAAGCTTTATTACAAGAACTCACAGATCATTACAAAAACTTAATGGAAAGTGATGAATCAAAGACGTTGCAATCACGGTGGGATCATGCTGAACGGAAAAGAAAGGACGTGTGCGATCGATTGAAAAAAGCAAAAGATAGTTATCTCGAAGTTAAAGAAGGTTTGAGGTAAAGCTAGCCTTTCAACTTAAAAAATACAAGTAATTCCTATTTTTTTTTTTTTTTTAAAAAAAAAAAACAAAAATAAATGAAATTTTTATAAATTTACAGGAAGGGGATTCAATTTTATTCCGATTTGACTGAACTTATTGAAAATCTTTCCAAGACTTTACAAAAATCTGCCAAATCTCGCCAACAAGAGCGTAATGAATTGGTACAATCTCTTCAAGAACAACAAATATTCAAAGATAAATTAATATCTTCAAGTACACCTTCTTCTAACCAAGCGATAAATCATTATGAATCTTTAAATCAACTTGCAGAAGAAGCAAATAAATTATCACTTAATAGCAATATGATACCCATTGGTGTCAATAGGGATTTGAGTAATTCGACAATACCACAGACTCAATCTAATGTTACAAATTTCTACAATAATATATCACATTCCTCCTCTCAACCCTATACTACTTCACCTATTCGAAAAGATTCTAATACAAATCCATCAGCACCTCCTTATATTCCCATAGCTCCTCCGAAACCATCTGCACCATCTACTTTAAATTTAGGTTCTTCTAATAATTATTCTTCGCAAGGATCTACTTCCTTTTCCGTACAACCGTCGACATATCCCACGAAACCTTCCTCTCCGAAGTTACAAGGTCCACCTTTACCCCCTTTACCTACTGGATATCAACAACATAATATTGTCCATAACTCATCACAATCAGATATCCAACGTTCATATCAGCCCGCATTACCAGCGGTCTCTCAATCACAACAAACGCTGCCACAACAATCACCAATATTACATCAAAACCATTCTTTTAATGGTCAATATACACATTCATCAATACCAACGCAACCTTCTCAATCTCAACAACAATTTCACACTCAACAGCATAGTTTATCAAGTACATCATCGTCTTTACCGGTTCACCAGCCTCCTTATTCATCAAATTTCCAATACTCTCAACAACCACTTACACCATTACCACCGCAACATCATCAATTTCGTCAATCGTCGTATGAAAATTATGCTAGTGCAGGATATAATCGGGTACCAATAAATCAACTCTCACAATCACATTATGCTGGCCAATCATCCGGAAGCCTATATCAACAACAATCACCACCACCACCACAATATTCCGGAAATCAACCACCTCAACAAGGATTTAACAACAATTTTCCTCATCAACCAACAACTTATTATCAACCTCCAAGTCAAGTTGCCCAACAAGTTAACGAGGGTTATTATCAACATTCAAACTATCGGCCTGCACCTGTGCAACCTGGTTATCCTTTTCAACAAGATCGTCCACCTACCCAACAGCAAAATATACAATCACCACAAAAATCATTATTGGATTAAGCTTTAAATTATTGATGTGATTATATATCAAAAGTGGTTGTATAAATATATTATTTGAAAAAATATCTTTTAATTTTTTATTATTATTATTTGTATTTTATATTTTGTATGTAGAGTGAAAGATTATATTTATAATTATCAATAAATTAATTTTTTAAATAGCTAAAAATAGGACAATTTTTTATTAAAAAGTTTTAAAAGCCAATGATAATAATACATAATCAAATCATAAAATAAAATAACCTATACACAAAATAATACAAAGTTGAGAAAAGAATTAAGAAGCCAGCTCTTTTTTTGAAAATAACTGAATAAAAATTAATAATTGTTGACTCATATTAATTTAAATAAACAATAAAAAAAAAAATAAATAAAATGCAAAAATATTTAACATGCAAAATAAAATAAAAATATAATCTATTTTTTTGGTTTTTTGGTTTTTTTTTTTTTTTTTTTTTTGCGTGGTAATTAGTCTAGTTTAAAATCGCTTTAAATAAAACTCCAATCAGATACGAGATATATTACATGTCCAAAATCTAGAATAAATTGTTATAATTTTTTTTTTTTTTTAAAAAAAAAAAGATAAATAGTATAATATAAAGGTTCTAACATTTTTCCCACACAGTATGAAACAAATTATAAAAAGTAAAACAAAAAGAATGAAACAATTACTCATCAACATAAGCATCTCTATCATCAACACCAAGAGCTCTCATAACTCGTTCCAATTTTTCTTCAACAGTCATTCCACCAACAACACCGGTACCACCAGCATCAATTTCACCACCGTATACATAATGATTTTCTTCTCTATCCAAATCGACATTTCCTAAACCTCTTGTCATTTCTTCTAATAACTTTGGCAATGGAACATCTTTAGCAAAATATACACTTGTTCTTGGTATAAAATTCTCATCACCATTAGAAGAAATTGATGAAGCATTAGAATAAGAATACTCTTTATTGATTAACCTATTTGGACTTCTACTACGTGAAGATATTCTATCAGGAGTTAAATACTGATGTTGTTTAGATAGAGGTTCAACACCAGGAAGATGTAAAGGACTTGGGTAATCAGCAGTATAATAATCTAACTGACTATATATTGATTCATTATTATCATTAAAAGATAATTGAGAAACTTGATCATCTTCAAGATCACGGCCATAATTCAATCTACCAAAATCTTGAGGCCAAATTTGAGAATTAGTAAGATAATCATCATCATTATCATCATTTGCACCACCATAATAATAACTATAGCGGTCTTCCATATCTTCACCACGTAAACCATTTACGACTTGCCATACGTAAGAACCATCTGACATTTCTAATACTTCAACATGTTGACTTTCCAACTGTTTTATTTTCGTGTTAAGATTATTAGAACTATTATCGTCTTCATCATCGGCTCCTTCTTGATCACTATAATAATAATAATCATATAGGCTTTCGCTGTAATTACTATAAATGCTTTTACTACCTATAGATTTTCTATTAAATTTACTTGAAGAAGATTTTAATGAAGAAGCTATACTAGATTTACTTGTACGCTTTGAACCTTTTGACGTTATACTATTTCTATACGGAGATGGTATTGATGGTATGGGTGGTATCGGTGGTATCGGGATACCATAAGGTAAATCTATAGCACTTTCCCTTGTATTAGGAGAAGGTATAGGAGTTGGAGGTCGGTTATTTAATGAAGTTCTTGAAATAGAAACGCTTAATAATGTTGAATCATCAACATTCTCACTTTTCACCTCTTTTTCTTCCTTTTCATCATCATTTGATGTATTTTTTGAAAGAAACCATTGGCGACCATCGGAAGCGACATGAATTTTCCCATTAACATCAATATTTTTCTTCAAACCAGTTATTGGATTTGTAAACGATGAAGTCGTCGAAGCAGAAGAAGGATCTTCAGGTAAAGGAGGAAGATATGGTTTAGTGATGATAATCGTACGACGAATTACTTTATTCCTTGATTTATTATCAAAATCATCAAGATCATTATTATCATTATTGTTATTATTAATATTATTATTATGGTTATTGTTATTAATATTATTATTAATTGTTTGACTGCTTTTACTAATGATACTACTACTTTTACTACTTTTGCTACTACGATTACTACCATAATTATTAAATATGGACATAAAACGTGAAGAGGAAGAAGCTCTACTATCTTTTGAATCTCTCTTATCATCACTACCAACGTCAGACGTACTATTCTGACTTCCAAAAGAATATTTCACACGACTTTTATCAGTTTGGCGTAATGGATTTCTTGGAGATATATGAGGAGGAGTACTTCTGCCAGATGGAATATCACTTATTGGAGACATTGTACTATTTGGACTATATGTGGATATCGGACTACTCGGAACACTTTCTGATCCATTTGGAAGGTCTACAATAAGTGAAAGTGAAGAAGAAGAATTTCTCATAGAACCGGAACCTGAATGATCTGATTGTGAAGATGGACGAGAAGATATTATTGGATAGTCAACTTTTTTGTTGTTACTATATCTTGTTATCATTTCAGCATGTCTTTTCAAAGCATCAATATCATATAATGGTGGTTGTCCAGGCCATTGATTATGACTATTAACAGGAGTACTTAATCTTTCACTCAAAACATTTGTATTCTCTATATTATTATTATTATCTCCATTGGATTGTTGATTTTGTTCGTAATCTATAACGAAAGTGAAATTATTCTTTATATCTTGTTTTAATTTATCATTAGGTTTATTATTCTCCCGTGTACTAAATGCACGTCTTTTTACAAAATCAAATCCCCTTTT